TCTCACTTGGAAAGATCCTTTGTTTTTTCCTTTTCGCCAAAACGTGCACATTTCAAGTAGCCATGTTTCATTTGATCCCACAGAGATGAGCCGTGACCTTCATTCCACTGTGCAGAAAGTTGCTTCCAAAAGTGCAAAAAGCAAGTTTGCTGCTTCCTTATGTAGACGGTTTCAGGCTTGTAGCAACAGTTCAAAATCTAAATAAATCCTAAGTTTCTGTTCCTTTTGTGTTTATATACAGCCCTGCCCGTTTCTCCAGAGGTGCTGGAGGAAGATTTGAGGCAGAAGATCAAAGAGGAGATGCAGAGGAGCCTGGAGGAGGAGATCAACCAGAAGAGGCAGGAGCTGCAGCGACAGTAAGGACACCAGACTTTGACTGTTTTACTAAGCTTCTGTTGAAACATGACTTCTGTGTTCTTTGTTTGACTTTGTTGAAAAAGAAGGAAAGTTTTCTTCTAAATCAAAGTAATTTTTTCTACCTGAGATGCTTCATATGGATAGTAAAGTAGAATAAATCTGCAACTGTTCTGAAAGTTGATGACTCATTTAAGTCATTATTATGAGCAAAAGTGCCAAAAACGAAAAAAAAAGTATGGTCACTGTTTGTGGTGTAGAGCTGCAACTCACATTCTTTTCATAATCACTTAATCTGCAATATAATTTTTCTAATTTATTGATTTTGTTTATACAATGTCAGGGAATCCTCCAGAGCCCTTAATGTTCTGTTTACAAGACAAAGTGAAACTGTACCATAACCAGCCAAAAGTGCAGATAAATTCTCTGGCGATCAGCTAATTGGTTAACTGACTGATGTGATTTGTGCGTGTGAAGGCTGGAGGAGATCAGGGCTCAGGCTCGAGCCGAGGCGAAGGCAGCAGCTCTGGCTCAGGTGGAGGCGCAGGTGAAGAAGACCCTGGAGGCGGAGAAGACGGCGTTCATGGAGAAGCTGACAGACTCCATCACTAACGAGCGCATGAAGACAGAGGATGAGAAGCTCATGGTGCAGCTTTACGTAAGCAGAAGAACGAACACGTGGCTTTTGTATGTGTCAGGATCTCTCTTGTCAATGTGAAGTCCTTCCTCTTATTGTCCCTCTTTTTCTTTCCTGCCCTGTTGTTGTTTCAGTGGATGGAGCTGAAGGTAAGATGGGAGAGACTTTATGCATGCGTGTCTTGCTCTTTTACTTTCCTTCTGCACTGACCGCACCTAAATCAACCACCGTTTCTGTCTTTGAAAACAACCTGGAAACTGGGTGTCTTTGTCCACAAAATATGAACGCTCTGGTTTGAGAGCTGTGCTGATTTTCTCATCCGATGTTGAACTCATGCAGGCTCATCAGCTGGAGGAGAAAGAGAAAGAGCTGAAGAAACGAGACGCTCTCTACAAGGAACACATCGCAAAACTTGAAGCAAAGGTAAGTTANAAGTCAGTGTAATACTGCTTCATAAGTCCTCCATGAGCTCAGCATTTTCTGTCTCTTTCATGTGATTCATATATCCTGAATCACACAGTTGCCGTAAAGGTCGACATAGTCTATACAACAAACAAGACTGACTCTTTTCATTAAGACGCAATAACAGCAAATAGATCCCAAAATCAGTCTAGCTAGATTTACAATATTATCATTTTTATTACCACTAATAATGCATGTCCTTAAATGCAACAACTCTTTACTCGAACAGTACTTGTAAAAGACATATGCAAAACAAAAACAGAGGCATCCCAAACACACAACATGTATTTAAAGTGTATGGAATATGTGTATGCAAAGACAGAGCTATATATCTACCAAATTGACATACCAATAAACTACACGTTCATTCTGGTGGTCTGCAAGCTGCAAGTATTATATATATATATATTATATATATATATATATCTGATTTGTCTGCTCTTGAAAACCTTTTTACAAATTTGACCAAACACACTCTGACATGAGTGACTGCACAAAGTGTCCATATATCGTAAATATGGGCCGAATAAGAAAAAAGAAAGAATAAAAGAAAAATCAGATTGTCTCACTTACTACAAACTAAAAGCATATTTTGAGTACGTAGTGAAAATGTGAAAAATGAATCTAAAAAAAACACAATCCCTCATTGTGTGCTGCTGGTCATGACCATCATCCTCCCACAATGCATTGCCCAAAGGAAATGGAGGAGCTGGACCACAACAACAGTAATCATCATCAACATTCACATGAGCAGCATAATAATGAATAGAATCAAATAAACATTTTTAAACATGTGGCTGCTGTTAAACCACTTTTTCTCTAATCAGGGGTGCAAACAGTCATCAAGAACAAATCTTATATTGACTTCATCTTCGTTGTGTAAACATCATCTCTGTGCGGTAATTTCTCTGTTTCTGCTTTACCAACAGCAGGATTCTATTCACATTTCAGTCAGTTTCCTATCGTTTCATCCCTATTTATGTTCTATACTTATATTAGTATATTATAATAGTTTTTCATTATTCCCAGAAAATTTAAGATTTCGTTTTTTAAAAAATGTACCAAAATAAAATGGTCATTTTGTTTTTTGGGAGGAAAATATATAAATAGTCAACAGATTATTTGATAGAAAAATAGCTGTTAGTGGCCGTCCTGTGTCTATGACAGTATCATAGACGCAGCAGGAGCTCCACATGGCTCTGATAACATGGTGCAGATACAACACAGTCACCAGCAGAGGACCCTCCACCTGCACCTACAGCCTGCTGATTCACCGACACCATTCAGTGAGTAATACCTTTTCATTTTTCTTGGTGCTACCAAGACTGGCTCAACAAAAATAAGAATGTTTGACCAATTTAAAGTTGTCTGTGAGTCTTACTGAGTCCTTGAAGACATACTCACATCTTCATCACTTAAGTGTTAGTGGCACGTCCACATGAGTTCTTTATAAAACAAGCTATTAAAGCTCTGACTTCAGAAATGAAAAGAAGTAGTTTTGGAAAGAAACGTCGCCTTCACAGCTTGGATGCCTTAGTTCACCCTGATTTCACTGAATAAACAAGGTTATTGANGAAGATATGTTATTTTTAAAGATTCTTGATGCAGTAGTTTGACATTATTTGTGCTTTGAAATGCTGTTATAAATTTAAAACAAATGCAAAATAGCCTTTGTTACTGGTCAGACCTTTGGGACCTCAGTGTATGTTAACAGGAGTACACACAGCCCGCATGCTTCACAATCAACACAACCTATTTGTCTGTGTTCAGTGTAGGGTTTCAGATCTGATGGAGAATATCTCCTTTGTTGTTATTTCAAACTGTCTCTCTCCAGGTGTCATGGGTTTACCGTGTCTTTTAACCACAATTAGACATAGGTAGACATAGGATCCATTTTACACACTTGTAAAATTAATGTTTGTTTTCATGCTGATTAACCAAAGAGAGTTTGTTACCAAATAAACTTGCAGACTTCATCAAAAGTCGATCTCAGCTTCACTTGGCCAGATTAGTTTGGTCAGTTCAGTCGTACACCTGGAAACACGAGCAAATGTCGAAAGAAATGTCATCGCATTTTGGTTCAGATATTTCTAATTCCTGATTGTATGTAGCAGAACTGATTTTAGCTCGACCATTTCATACCAGTGACAGATAAAAAGGTGTTTTCAAGGCCCTTTAGCAATTTTTGGCCACTGAGGGGCAGTGAGACTCAACAACACAGTGGACAAGAAGCACAGTTGGAGCATTAGTCCAGTAAAATGAATGTAAATAACCTGTTTCTTTAGACAACATCTGGATTTCGATGATGTTTATCTTGATGGTAATGTGAGGTGTTTTTATCACTTTGACAGTGCACTGAGTTTTACAAAGTGTCTGCTGAGAGCTTCCAGAAGGGCAAAGAAGAGACTCACAACCGTTTTGCGTGAGTCGACATTCTGTGTTTTTTTGTGTTAAAACCCTTTTCACAAGCTGTGTGATCAGTGTTACGAAGCGTTTCGTGTTCAAGTTAGTCATGTTCACGTCTCTTTCAGGCGTTTCAACATCCAGCCGATGTGTGGAGACCTGCAGAGTCAGATATTAAAATGCTACAAGGAGAACACGGGCCAGACTCTGTCCTGCTCCAGTATCGCCTCGGCCTACATGCAGTGCGTGGACAACGCCAAGAAAGTACGAGTGAATGCTTCAACACATGTCTTGATCCCTTTCATCCCTTGATTCCCTGGCTGATAACATTTTAACTCTATTTGTCTTCTCTCCAAACCCAGAATAAACTAAGCACTGGCGGTTAATGTGAACCACCTGGACGACATCTGACAGGTTCACTGCTGCAGCAAAGAAAACACGATGGACAGAAACTCACAAACAGAAGTCACCGGAGAGAGTATCTGAAGAAGTGCCATGGAACCGCAGCCAACAAAAACCAAACAGTTTAGCTTTAAGTAAAGAGACGCTGGATATCTGCAACTTCTCTGGTTCTTGGGATCATCTTTAAACCAACTGTGCCGACAAGACAGCATCTGGGATTTTTAAGTGCTTCTCTTTGTAAACGAGGCAAAATATAGCAAAGAAACAATAGATTTAAGTTTTTTTCACAGCAGTGTGAGATCAAGTCAGGTATTTGTACGAGATATATGCTCAATGAGAGCCTGTTTAATCATTGTGTGTGTGTGTGTGTGCCTTGGTGCTTTGAAAGCTCATGTTAAGAGTGTAGATGCATGAAAGAAGCATTAAGTGAGCAGAGTGCAATGTAACGAAGACCAGTGTGAACAACTGAAATACATCAATAAACTGGGACGTGTTAAATATAATGGATGCTTTAGTTCATAGCTCAAAATATCCTGGCTTACATACACTAACATACAGTGTGCAGCTACAGTCGTCCTCAAATGTATTCATACCCTTCCATTAAAGAAAAGGCAAAATTCACAATAGTCACTCAAATAACTAGAAACTGAAAAAAGTAATAGTAAATAAATTGTGCTAAATTATAATTCAGTGAAATAAGACATTGCTTTTGAATTGTGGTTGAAAAGAATTTTTTTTTTTTTTTAAATTGAGCGCTTTGCTGATGAGCAGTGGACCAAAATCAAAATAGCTGTCAACAGGTGCAGAAGTCTGATTGAGAGTTACAGAAAACACTTGATTGCAGTGATTGGCTCAAAGGGTTGTTCAACAAAATATTAGTTTACGGGTCCCATCATGCTTGCTTGCTTGTTTTTTTGTTTTGTTTTGTTTTTTAAAAAAATATTTTTCTGTTGAACCACAATTCAAGAGCAATGTCATGATGTTCATTATGTTTTTATTTATTATTACTTTTGTCAATTTCAACTTATTTCAGTGACAGCTGTTTTTTTTCTTCTTTAATGGGAGGGCATGAATACATTTGAGGACGACTGTATGTTATTATTTAGACAAAGCAGCAAACTGTCACTTTGCTGTCTCGTTTTGATCGACTGTCTTCTTAGAGTTGTTACTTGTAATGGCAGAAGGAAATGCACTTTTAAGATTTGCATTATTTGGTGCATATTTTAGTCATGGAGCTTATTTCAAGAAAATAATAC